GTGTCACTTAAAAAGAATGTGTATAAGAATTACCGACAGTTCATTGATACAGCAAAAGAAATTTCGTACTTAGAAGCTGAAATGTACCAACTTAGTCATTTGCTAACTGAACAGAAAGCATTATTGGCAGATCAGATTGAAACTGTAATTTTTGACCAGCCTAAAGCTGTTTTAGTCCAGAAAGAAGAAAAAAACGAAGAGCAAAATAGTAAAAAAAAAGATTTTATTGCAAGTTTAAAAGCCACTAAGGATGTGATTAATCAGTTAATTTTAAAGGAATTAATTCTTAATGGTGAACTTACAGAATACGACCCCGAAACTTATTCTTCGATCCATAAGATAAACGCATGGCTTATGACGGATACGTTACTCATAACCACCCTTTTGAATAACGGAAAGTCTACAATTTTAACCACATTTGATTTGAGCGATCTTGCTGTTGTTAACGTCAGAGATGGGCAAGGTGCTAAAAACGCTTTTAAAGTTTTGTATGCTCTTGAAACAAGAATGTTTAGCGCTCCTACAAAAGACATGAAACTGGCATGGCTTGATAAAATTGATCGTGCTAAAAAAAATTATGGCAAAACTGTACTGCTTGATCCACCTAAAATGATTGACAAGACAGATAAAGATAAAAAATCCGAAGGGGAAACAGAAGAAAAAAGTATGTTTATTATTAATAAATTTTGTTTTAATAATAGTATTTATTTTACTATCATAATTTTTTTTTAATACAAAGTAAACAAGGGTTAGTTGAGCAATTTTTTCAAACTGTTGTGCATACTTTTCAAAATAAAACATTGTTTTTGTTCAATTGTTTCGGACATTTTTGATCTAGTGGATCGAGTCAAACAATAAAATTACCTTGGACTTTCAGTATATTTATCAAACATTTTTAAAAACGTATAATTACTTTAATTTCAATCATATTTGTGACGAGTATCAAAATAACTAAACGTAAACAAAAATTCTGAAAACGCTATTTGGAGTCTACTTTTGACAATCTTACTGCTTTTATAGCTATATGAACTTAATCGTCTACAAGTTTAAATTTAAATCTGTTTTCAGATTATTTCTTTTTAAATGCATTGTTAGAATTTGAAGTAATGTGTGTTAAAGCGACTACCAAGTCCCGAGACATGTTGTGTTCATATTAAAGAGAATGTTAAAAAAAACAACGTCTGAGCAAATTTTTTTTGATTAAAACTAATTAATAAATGTATACCAAGAAAAACAAATCTTGTTGTTTTAGTCGAAGCTCGTCTTCTCCATTTTCTGCGGTATTTTGAGTATGTAAAATAAACGCGATTTTCCAGGCGCATTATACAGACTTGATAATTTATTCAAGCGCGTTTAATTCATAGGAGTTTGAGAGTATGACGCCATTGGAAACATTCTAGAAATTTTTTAACAATTTTACTATTAAGTTTTACTAAAATAGCTAACTATAGTTACTTATTTTATTAAAAGTTTATTTTATTAATTGTTCGTTAGTTTTATACAAATCTAACAAACAATTAATTGAACCAAGAACTAAGAAAAGATATAAAAATTAAGAATATACTAATAAAATATATAATTTGTAATTAACTTTCAAAATTTTGACAATTTAAAAAATATATAAAACATTTTTGTAAACAAATGATAGTTTTAAAGATTTGCGGCTTTACAGATGTGGCTCCGAGAGATGTGGCTCCGAGAGATGTGGCTCCGAGAAATGTGGCTCCGAGAAGATGTGGCTCCGAGAGATGTGTCTCCGAGAGATGTGGCTCCGAGAATGAGCCCATAATATTAAATTAATAGTTCATTTGATAATATATTTTTATAAAAATTTATGCTAGATATCTCATAACGCAACAAATCGTAAATAATACAATTCCTAAAACATTTCAACAGAAAACTCTAGGACTATTAGAAAACTCTAATTATGTTTCCATGTATGTCTGTAAAATAAAAATTAATATATATTAATTTTTTAATTTTTAAGCCCCCGCCATAATATATATTGGATGTTATAATAATGGAAATATAAATAATGAAATAAGATCACCTCAATACCAAAAAAATGTATTTTTTGGTATTGAAAATCAGAGAAAAAATGCGTTAATAATTTTTTTTAATATTTACAAAGTAAATTAATAAAAGTGCATTATTATTTAGGTTAAAAATTATTTTATCTAATATTTTGAAAGAAAAACTTATAACAAAAGAAATCAAAAAACACGTGGTCTAGACGATTATTTAAAAAAAGTTGCGCAAATAAAATACTATTTTATTTTGTTTATAATTTTATTTTGTTTTTAATTTTGTTTTACAAACACATTTTAGAACTTTAAAACATAATAAAAATGAATATGATTTGGAAATTGTATGTAAAAAAAAACAATCGGTGTTTTAAACAAACAAAATCTATGACATCATGCACTAAAACTCCTATGAATTAAACGCGCATGAATAAATTATGAAGTCTGTATAATGCGCCTGGAAAATCGCGTTTATTTTACATACTCAAAATACCGCAGAAAATGGAGAAGACGAACAAGATTTGTTTTTCTTGGTATACATTTATTAATTAGTTTTGATCAAAAAAATTTGCTCAGACGTTTTTTTTTTAATATTCTCTTTAATATGAACACAACATATCTCGGGACTTGGTAGTCCCTTTAATGTTTAAACAGACGATAGTCAAGATCATCCTGTGGTTTTTTATAAAGTGTACGAGAGGTAGAAAAACATTTGAAATGCTTGAATGGTTGCAATAAAATTATAATGTTTATGGAAATAGTTTATCATTAATAACTGCTTCTTTAATTGTTTACGTTTAAAGCTTTAAATATCAAGATATTTCTACAAATTCACAGATCACATATTAATAACATAAGTCAAATTTTTCTTTTCACCCTATTTATTAGAATTCAAAGTACAAAGAAATATCAAATTTAATGAGAAGTTCTGATTTTACATAATAAAGTCTTTGTATTACACACAAACTTTAGTACCTAAAATGAAATTAGTAATTCCTTCACGTTTTTTATTTTGCAACATGTCGTTAGACAAGTTTAGATTTTGACGATTTTGCAAATCGTCAAAACCTAATTTTAATTTAAAAATAAATAAGTGATTAAAAAAACGTTTTTTTTTCTAAAAATTTTGGCTAGAGGAAGACGTTTAGTTGATCTTAGAGAGGTATATACACTAATATTTCGTAATAGACCCATATTGATAGTGAATTTTTTTGGTTTGTTTATTAAGTTTTACAATTAATGTAGTTAACTGACTATATTGTTTGTGGATATGACTATATTGTTTGTGGACACATAATTCGCATGAGAAATGACGTTTATGTATTTTATCCAAAGTGTTTTTGTTTTGTTTTTGTTTTTTTTTAATTTTTTCGGAATCAATGAACCAGCTTGATAAGCTTTAATAATCATTAAAAAGCCATAAATAATTTTTTTTCCACCATTATTTACAACTCAATAAATAAAATAAAATTCCTTTTTTCTGTAAGTTGGCCAATTTTCAGATGATTCCCATGATTTTTCTCTACATTTTAAGTGTTGCTGTCTGTTACTTATCGCCATCCTTAAAACAAAAAACAATTTTAAATGACTCTATCTTCATGTGGATGAAGCTGTCACAAAAAATTCTGCATCAATTGATATATTGAAGTAATGTTGTCTTATTTTTTAGACATTTCAGTTATCCGCCATATTTTTTTTTTCAACAAGCTTCACTTCCACAATACTTCAATTAACTCTATTTTAACTAGCAAGCTAGCTCTATTTTACTAATTTATAATTTATCGCATTTTTCAACCTTTATTTAATTTAAATTAAATTTATTTAATTTAAATTTATCGACCTTTTCAAAGTTTTATTAAAATGCTAGTTGATAATTATAAACTTGAATTTTTTTTTCTTTTACTTATTTAGAGATAAAGCCGACTATATCTACAAATTTTCCTAAAATTATCGAGTCTAAATCATTTCCAAATTTACTAAACGCCGATTGGCTGAACGAACTCCCAGAGGATCTTGATATGAGTATTGCACAGCGTGACTTTGAAGGTGCAGTTTTATTAGTAGAAAAAGCTCGAAATTATATTTCTGGATTTCCTGAATCTCCTGGCTTATTAGAAATAAAAAAAAATATTGATTCTCGCGTTCAGACTCTGATTGGTGCTTTTGAAAAATCATTGGATAATTCAAACTCTTCCAGACACGTGAGCCTAAGGTCTATTCGTGTGTATATTTTGTATCTTATTAGGCTTGGTCAAGCTAAACTAGCCTGCAAGTTATTTTTTCGAAATCGCGGGTTTGAGATAAAAAACAGCTTTAAACAGCTCAAAATGGAGGGAGCAGTTACCATGTACATTGCGAAGCTTGCTGAAGTGTTTGTTAATGCTTTGATTGAAACAGGAAAAGAATATAAAAAAATCTATCCTCAAAATAAAAATGCATCCGCTTATCTTGTGTGGGTTCATAACGAGCTGCAATGTTTTACAGACAAGTTTTCCCGCCAGGTTTTTACTCGTAGCACCAACATATCTACCATTGCCGCTTGCGTTCACATAGCCTTAACTGAATGTCAAAGGCTCGAATCCATCGGCGTTGATTTAACTTTTGATATTCAACACATGTTGCTGAAAGATGTAATGGCTATTGTATTTGATACTAGAGATCAATTGCTTGAACGTGGAAAAATGCGCGCTATGGAGGATACTTGGGATGAAATTGACTATTCCAAAAGTCCGGATAGTTTGAATGATTTAAAAAATGAGTTCGAGTTGCTTAGGCTCGAAGGAATCGATGCATATTTTAGAGGAAACGTTGTTTGTCTTAGCTCCTCGACTCTTATATTTGCAAAGGACATCCTTGCATTTTTATTTGATGGAATGCAATTGTACAGTTCAGAACTTCATTGCACTTTTATACGATGCTTAGTGGATATTTTCAAAGCACAATCTATTCAGTTTGAAAGTCTTTTGAAAGAACAAATTATGAAGCCAAAAAGAAACATGATTTTTGTGAATGCGGAATTCGTGTTTAGTAAAGTTTTATCATGTATTGCTACTCAGTTGGAAGGTTTGGTTCGAAACGATATTGCAATTTTGTTTGATATTAGTGAAGAATTGACAAAGCTGCGCAAGTTTTTATTATAAAAAGTTTCTATAAGTTGTCTTAAGTACGTAACTAAATATATATCTATAATTTGATTTAATATTATCATTATTATAAGTTGTTAATTTTCCTTATTTATTCGTTAATAGAGTAAATGTTTATTTGGTCACGCTTTTATATTCATTTTTTTTTTCTTTCAAGGAACAATTCTTAATAAATATTCCGATTATATTAAAAGGTTTGTTCAAATTTTCAGCTTTTTCAAAGAATCTTAATAAGTATTATTTTTAATAAAAAATACGATAATTACTACGATCTAAGTTGATTTTGACTTTTTTTTATTGCGACAACTAATATCGATGGTTAAGAGCACAAAGGGAATATGTCAAACATTAAACATTAGGTAAACATTAAACATTAGGTATTAAAGTATGTAAAAGAAATGAAAATAAAATAGTAAAAAACAAGACATAATTAATTGAGCAATGCATTTGGTTAAAAATCATGACAATAAATAAATATCATGAATTATTGTATGTTTATCTAAATCCCAAAATTTGTTAACCCCCTCGTACTCTTAACCTATGTTAATATTTTGTATTGCATACTCTATACTAAAATGTATTCCAAATTCAGTTTTACTATCGATATTTAGGGTATATTTGAACAAACTTGTTTGTTTTCAATTCTATTAATCGATTGATTAATATGGCTTATAATTTCAGATTTATATATACGTATATATTTATATATTAGGCTTCCAATAAAAACAACTTTTTTAAAAAAAATTATTACTCTCTAGGAAGAGTAATAATTTTTTTTAAATCTCCGTCGTCCGAAGCTTCGGCAGAGTGACCGGCAAAATTTTCTCCGTCGTCCGAAGCTTGGGCAGAGTGACCGGCAAAATTTTCAGTACATCCCTAAAGCTTTAGGGATGGAGCGAAAGCTTTTGCACTTATAAAGGTAAAATTTGCTATCTTGCAGATGTAGCACTAACTGCTAAAATATAATACTTTTCTGCAATTATTATATGTACTGCATATTGCAAAATATATGTACTGCAATTATGTGTATTTTAACGCACAAGGTATTTCATTACCACCACAAATCATCAAGCTTTTTTTTTAAAATTACGCAATGTCGTAGGATTTTAGGATGTAGCTATGCCTTGTTTAAGGTGGTACTAAAGCTTTTATTAAAATGTTAAATAAAGTATTAAAAAGTTGTTAATTAGAAGTTTTATATATATAAAACTAAAATATACAAATTTTGAAATAATTTGTAACAAAAAATTTTTCTTTGCCTTGCTTACCCAAATCTAAAAACACATAAAAAGAAAAATACGCAGAATATGCAATATCTCAAGATAGGGTCATTTATTTGCTCCCAAACTTTACAATAACATAGGTTCCATAATGATGTAGGAGTTGTACTAGAATCATCTACTGTATGTATATAGTTTAGGAGTAAAGGCAATTTTACCTTATTGAACCAGCTGCGGGTGTCAGGTCGGGGACATATCTGGCATTATTTCATGAACTATTTTGTATTAAAACTTAATTCTAGTACAACTCCTGCATATGAGTATCATGAATACATCCTGAAAATTTCATTGTAATTGCACCTTTAGATCTTGAGATATTTAATTCTGCGTAATCGTGTATATTGAAAATATTCAAATGGCAAAAAACATGTTTTAAAAACAATAAACTTTCACAGTCAACTACCAACCACCAATAGAATAAGCTGGTAGTTTTTCTGATTCATTTTCAATATCTGAGTAACCTTTTCTTATATTTTTAAGGATTTTTCTTTGTTGTATTCCTTTTTTTGATGATTTTCTCCTCATATTTCTGATTCGTTCATTGTTTTTTTTAATAAATCCTTTATTCATAAATTGTCCGACAGGAATTTTTAAACGTTCAAAAACTTTACAAATACCAGTAGCACCTTCATTAAACTGTAGTATTACAGATGAAACTCCTATCTCCAAAACCTTTCCAACAAAAATATTTTTAGGGTATTTTTCCATATTATAGAATTTAAAGCTTCATTGTTGTTTTGGGTTTGTCTGTGTAAAAATTTGGAAAGTAACTCGTCACTTGAAAGATCATGAAAAATTGGGAGAAGAACAGCTTTGATTGACAATGGTATATTCAATGTGGGTTTGTATTTGTTTTGATCATTAAATCTATCTGTTTACCACAAGCACCAACTGTTTTTGGATTGAAGGCAGAATTGATGGCGTTCGATAGGATTACTTATATTACTATTATGAAATAACACAGCCCAAACAGATTTCTTTATTGCATATAATAGTTTATTCTGCCTAATTGCCATTCCATAATAATTTTGAAGTTTATTTATAACTTTATCTGTAAATCTTCCTGCCCCATTCAATTTTTTTCCATCACTTAGTTTTTTTCCCTTCATACTTTGAAGCAAACTGCGACATTTGCTATGTACCACCAACTGATACCTGGCAATTTGTAATGCTATTGTTATCAAAAGTATTGGTAGCAAGTAAACTCTTTGTTTCTAAAGCTGCATTGCTCATGCTTTCTGAAGCTGCATCGTTATAAAAAGTATGTAATTTATTATTTATTAATTGATATCCAGGAAATGATAATAGTGTTGGCATGTTCATAATGTTAGCAAATGTACGGATTCCCTGATAACCTTGACCAATCTCACGAAAAGCTATAACCATTTGATAATTAATGCAGCTTACAGCTTTTTCTAAAGTAAGTTTATTTGTTTTCTGTGAGCTTTCAAACTCATTTCCAGTCACAATTTGTGCAATTTAAACATAGAAGATAAGAAAATCCCTTTTTTTTTAAATTGTTTGATAAAGTTACTGTTTTCTTACATTAAAGACAAAAAATAAATTTTACAAGCTCATTCTGAAGAATTGAAAAGTTTATTAAAATGTTATAATCATCATTGTTGATAAATGAACTACTGCATTTTTTACTTTCTAAGTTTTCTTTCACTTGAACAAGGTTTTTCGATTTGCATGGTTTTATCATCAAGTTTGTTGTTTTTTTTGAATCTGTTACCTTTAAACTTCATCTTTTTCTTTGCTTTTAAAGACTTTGGCATTTTTAAAAACCAACTAATATACTTAATAAATGTTTTTATAATTCTAAATAAAATAAATAAATAAGGAACAGCACCAAACAATCAATTATTGTATTTGTAGTTAGGTCTCTACTTCACTTTAAAATTTGAAACTTGCACTCGTGATTTAATGAAAACAATGTGATTTTAGCTAATGGATTTAAGACATTTTATCAAAAAAAAACTTATTTGTAAGATTCAATGCGACCCCCTGTTTAAAAACATGGATATATAACTAAATTTTTGGGCAAAACCAAATCTTGCTTGGCGTTGCTAAGGCGTTGCTAAGCGATTAAAATTATACCTGGTTTTTTAAAAACCTTATATCTCCTAATACTATTAAAAAAACATATCAAAGTTATACATATTTGAAACCAGCATTGAATTCTACATAAATTGAAATAAAAATCCCAAAATCGTTTTTTTTTATGACTGTAATGCTTTAGTACCACCTTAAATAAGTTTAATGTTATATGCAAAAAAAAATGATAAGTAATTACTAATTACAAATAAATAATTGAATCAGGGTGTGAATTATAAAACAAATTTGGCTCACCGGTTTTTACATCCATTTAAAACAACCATGACATTCATTTAAAACACCGCGACAATTAAAACAATGTGATTTTCAATTAAAACAATCGTGATTTTCATTTAAAACATTTAACGCATGCGCAATCTCAACATTCTATATTATTTTAAAAAAAAAGGTCTTCTTTATATATTTATTTATCTAATATTATATAAATTTATTTTTATTAATATTATATTAATTTATTTTAATTTAATGGAATTTATTTTAAATTTGAATGGATGCCACGTTTGTTTTAAATGGATGCAAAACCATATTTTTTTACATATTTTTTATACACATACTGTATTGGCAAAACAATCATGATGTTCAATTAAAACATGCATGATGATAATTAAAACAACAATGATTTCCTATTAAAATATTTAGCGCATGAGGATATTAGATTTTCATTAAAACATGCAGCGAAATCCTGTTTGCCAAAATACGCGAAAATTTATTTTGAGATTGGTCGTTGATCAAAGAAAAATTCAATCTGAAACTTCATTGCCACGAGAAACTCAATCTGAATCGAAAAAAACTCAATCTGCCGCGAAATTCCGTTTCCCAAAACATGTGAGATCTTGTAAATCTAGTAGTTGATCAAGGAAAAACTCAATCTGAAGCTTCATCGTTAACAGGAGTGAATCGAAACACAATACAATCAATTTTAAGAAGGTACGATCGAACGAATTCAACATTTCCTGGTTCTAGAGGTGGCGCTTGTCACGTTATTTATAATGAAGAGATTAGAAGAAGAATTGAAGAGCTTATAAACGATAACACAACGACAACTATAATTGAAATTAAATATGCTTTAAATGTAAATGTATCAATTAAAACTGTCCGGAGATGGGTGACCAATCTTGGATACACATATAAAATTACTCGACCAATTTATGAAAGAAGAAACGACAATGATGTAAAAAATCTTCGTATTGAATATGTTAGGTGGTATACTTCAATCTCGCCTATTAATCGCTATCGAAATATTGTTTTTATTGATGAAAGTTCATTTAATTCACACAAGTTTTGCAGTCATTCATGGGCAAGAAGAGGAGTAACACCAAACCCGATCATTCACCCTAGGCAACGTAACGTTTCGATGATATTGGCCGTCAATGGTTTAAATATTATTCACTGCGAAGATGTCAGTGTCTCAGTCAACACATTCTGTTTCAAGAATATATTGATGAAGTTGTACAAGTTTTGGGGACAGAGGAAGAATTCACCCTGGTGATGGATAATGTCAGAATCCATCATAATGTTGAGATGAGAACTCAGAACATTCAAATAAAATATTTGCCACCATATTCACCATTCTTGAATCTGTGTGAAGAGATTTTTTTTTATCTTAAGAATAACGTGCGAAGAAATACGGCCCCAGCTGGAAGAAATGAACTAATTTCAAGAATGCGTGAGGCATGCTTATCTATTCCTAATGTTAACTTATCAAACTATTACACACACTGCGAAAG